TTTGAAGAGGTCGAAAGATTCTGTGTTTATGGTGGATGTAGAGCGGTCACTAGAAGTGACGGCAGGCGCCAATAATACTCTCATCGTTCTCTCATCCTAATGTGTTTAAATCTATACCTCTCGTTTCCTTCCGACGACTACTAACAATCCGGAAGTCCACGATTAGAGAACTTTCTGTTTTGGAACCAGAGCTCTCGATCGGCGATACTAAACCGAAATCGAGAACAGTTTTCAATGCTCTGTACTGTTATTGACAATAGCTCTCAACCAATCAGCGGGTGAGAAATCGCTCAGTTATTGTAAAAAAATAATGGCAACTAATTATTTCATCACGTTAGCCAAAGGCATTTGTAATAAAACAGTCATTTCTTTAGGTTTACGTAGGTTCCGCGGGTTCCGCGGTTCCACGGTCTGCACTCACGCAGATTAATCTTAGCCGCCAATCCCCAAGTATGTTTTAGACGAATATCTAAATGTGCGAATTAACTAGGATGAAGAGAATTTTGAGTTAAACAACATGTTAAATATTGTCGTTGAAAATAAGTAATTAAGTAAAGTTTTTCTTCTCGTGAAAACCTATTCCTTTTTTTAATTATTTCAGTTCGACGAGTCTCAATTCTCAATCTTTCGTGGCTGTTGCTCGGAAAGTCTATTTTAATTTTGAATCAAACATAAACTTCCCAACAGACTGAGGAAAATGACTGTGTGATGTCAAGACATATCCTCTCTTGTCGACGTTTCATATGCCTGATGGCAGAAAGTTTCATTGAGTTGATCGTGAGTGGATCCTTAAGAATGTTTCAAGTGGCTAAAACACAATTACTCAGATCTGCCAAGAAATTTTTGTTGTTTTCCTAGGTTCATATGCAGTAGGAACACATTATTTCCTCTAGGAATAAATAGATTTGACGAAGCTCACTGATATATGATATCACCTAGTCTCCTATACCAATAACAATCCATTGTTTTTATTGACACTTTTTCAATTTCTTATTTGTAACGAACTTTTAGTTTTATTTCCATTTTTCATTTAGCACCTGAAGAAGGTTTGTTTTCAAACCGAAATATTGGGCAATTTGCTTTAATGTATATTTTTTTGTTTTATTCTTTTGTTTACTTCTTCATCGCCTTGCCGTAAACCGATCAGTTTGCCGTTTCATATTTTTCATATGCAGTAGAACTCGGCGGATACATACCACGAGCTCCCTGCTAATTCCAAGAAAATGTGATTTTTTCAATGGGCCCTTTTCAGATGGTCGGTCACGTGGTCCAAAACCGCCATGACGGAACGCAAGAAATGTTTGTCTCAATTGTCTGTTCGGTAACAGTGCGTTTCTTGCGTTCCAGCATGGTGGTTTGTGCCACGTGACCGACCATCTGAAAATTGCCTTTTGAGAGGAGAAGTCGTTACGTCACGTTGCCATGGTGGCAAAGTTTCTGCATGATAACAAACTGAAAGCGTCACTTAAAAAGTGAATTCGCACTGTTTCAAACTTCATGGATCTTATTCAATTTCATTTTTAAATTTGTCAAATGTTGTCTAAATTTTCTGGGGTTGAATCCGAAAGGACTGCATCTACAGTACTGTGTAAAAGAAATGAGAGCGAACTTCACAAACTGCGAACCTTCGTTTCAGACGAAAATTCGGCGAAATTTCGGCGCATCTATTGGGCTAGTCCCTGCGAAATTTCGGAAGCTAGGTGATGAACCGAAAGGAAAGTTCGCAGCATGAACCGAAATTTCGTTGCGAAATTTCGAGAAAGGTTCACGAAATTTCGCGTCCTTCACGAAATTTCGGCTCGTTTAAATGATATTTCTGTTCGACGAAGCGAAATTTCGTGTGAGCGAAACGAAATTTCGTTATTGAAAAAAATTCTTAACTGACCAGGGCGCGGTTGTTTAAAGCAGGATTAAGATAACCCAGGATTAGAGCGGAATTTGATTTCAATTGTGAACGCTTAAAAAGCAGAATGAGATTCATATGGATTCTTTTTGCCTACCATTTGATATTTGGACGCTCTAAATTACAAGTGGAAACAAGCATAAAAAGCGCTGTTGAGCAAAAGAAACAGGAACTCGGATTAAGCTACTAACTATAAATTGCATACTATCTTAGCGATCGTTGTCGCAAACGGATCGCTACGATAATTGAACGGTTGCTTCCAATCAATCCGTTTTTCAACGATCCTACCGATCGTATCAATCTTACTGAAACGAGACCTTAAATGTACATGCACCAGTAACAACATGAACCTCAGTAAGCAGAAAATCTGCTGAAGAAAATTTGAGACGTCGGAATGACAGTACTGCTACTGCTGCGAGTTATTTTCGCAGGTTATTTACCTAATCAAACGTCAATCACTAATGGAAATGTCATATTAACGGAAATTATCCATTGTTCATTTTATTACGAAACAATGTTTTTAACTTAAGCTTCGGAAGCGTGGAATACGAGTCGCCGACACGAAGGAAGGGAATTGAAGCGCAAACTTGTGAAATTTTATTGCTGAGATTATTTAAATCGCAAGGCTTTGCTTTTTGTAACACATGTGTCATTTCAAAGTGAGATCAAGGCTATGATCGAGTCTTACCTGTAAGCTTTAAAATTTTGCTTTTATGAATAGACTTAGCGTTAAGAGAGAAGGAATGCGGGAAAAAATAAATTGTCAGGAATCTATTTATTAGCTCAGTTACGCTGAAATTGGAGAAATTGCTTAACTGCAGGTCGAACGATGGTTTTGGCTAAAAGTGAGCATATGAAAATTTCCTTAATTCGAGTTTTTAGCTGTAAATCTTCTGGGAGCGTTTCTTTGCTGAGACGTTTCTGATGATTGCAGTAAATAGAAAGAAGTTAAATGCGGTCTATAGCGCCTTTCCTTCAAGTAACTTGAGTCTAAAAGACCAGATAAGTTTTATTACGGAACATTAACTTGGTCGTCCGTGTTGTGGGCAAATAGTGGTACTGATCTTTTTCGAACCGGATTTGTGTGTTTCCCTGGTAAAGTTTTAGAGAGAGCTTAACTGTTTGTTAGGCTATAAAATGCGAGGCAGATCGTTATCAACTAGTGTAGTGATCTTATGAAATTTGGCGCAAAGAGCACTGTGATGAATCATCCCGGCAATCGAAGTGGTCGAACGTAGCGAGCCAACAGTGTAGCGATTCAAAGCAACGCAGGGTTGAGTGAGAATCAGAATCAGTCTGTTTACATCATAAACCGTATCAGCGAAATTTCGCAAGGGCGAATTTTCGCTCCTGCCAAATTTCGTGGTCTTTCAACGAAAGTTTGCGGGTGTTCGTGCAAAATTTCGTTGCGAAATTTCGGCAAAGTTTCGCGAGAACAATTAAAGGACGAAATTCGGCGAACTTCGATCTCGGTACTTTTGCACAATACTGAAAGGACTGCATCTAAGTTTACATGTAGAAAAAGAAAAGAAAATTTTTCTTTTGTGTTCACTTACCCCATAAACTCTGCGGGTGAAATTAGGCATTTTCATGTAACCTTATGTCGCTGTAGTGCATTGACAGCTGAGAAATGTACAATGAAAAGGCGTGATACACTCGCAAAATTGTTGTTTTGCTTATAGGTGGTTTTCATGCAATCTCGGGAGACACAAATAACAATGGTGAAATGAACAAATGCTGGTGGACAAACAAAGCGAGCTAATGAGGGATCTTTTGTTTACCGTCCACCAGCATGGCGGCGATGACGTAACTTGAAAACCACCTATATAAACTAAATGCTTGTTTTCCGTTATCGTTGCTGTCGCGGTCGGCGTTCCTTAAGCTCCCTTTTCTTTGTTTTTACTCACGTGGCCAGCATCTATGCAAATTTATCGGAACAAAAGAAATCGTTTACATAAGAAAAGAGTTCAACTCCCACAGGACTGGTTTGGGACACAAACATGGCCGCCGTTTCATTGTTTTGGGCACAAAAAATATGGCCGTCATGACGTCATGTGAAAACACACAATTGTTGTGATCCAGAAGTTTTCCTACCCTGGTTACGTGAAGTTGCGCTTCTTCTCCCTATTGGCCCAATTTTTTTTATTTATGAATTTTAGATTTATTTACAGTCAGCTTCCTTAAACTCAATAGCTAGAACTCAACCTTAACTCTTCTCTTCCTCCTCCACAACCCCTACACCCTCAAGTTTAACCCCGTAGATAAATAAAACAACATTTACAGTAACGTTCATTTTAATTCTGACTAAAATTTCCAAACAAAACGATCCTATCGAAACTACCTTATAAAATAAAACTGGAACGACACGGGTCGGGCGGACATCTTGGGTGGAAGTTCGAAGAGCGAATACGCTTCGTTTTCTGTTCATAACCATATCACAGAGTTGTTAAAAACAATAAATACCTTCTCTTTTCATGCAGTCAACGGAGGTTACTCTGACTGGGGACCGTACTCACAATGTTCAAAGACTTGTGGACGTGGTAAACAAACAAAAACCAGAACTTGCACCAATCCCCCACCACAGCACGGTGGTAATAATTGCAGTAGCCTGGGACCATCTATGTCTTCAAGGGACTGCAACAACTTCCAATGTAAAAGTAAGAAAGGTTTTTTTATGGCGCCAACCTATATTTAGCTAGCTAAAAGCTAAATCAACGGTCAGCCCATGACTGATATTTTTAGATGCTGCTGAATCAGAAACAGCTCACAGAACTCACGTAGCTATATAGGCGTTTATATCTAACTGCGGCGACCAGAGGAGTCCGCAATCCTAATCTGGAAGCTGCTATTACGCGTGTCAAATTTCGCTTGGACTTCCTCTAAGAATGGATAGAATAATATAAAGCAATCAGATAATGAGCGTTTTGACTTTCGATCAGCTGAAATTTACGCAAAGCAAATAATGCCCTAAATAAAAAATAATAATAATTACTCTTTTGGTTGCTTGTAATTCAGATTTTGTCTTTGCTAATGTAATACTGAACTATCATGCGAGTGGAGATTTCTTTCTCGCATGGCTATAAGCATTTGTACAGTCGTTCGTGTAAACAAACCAACTATGCAACTGACAAGCCACGCGAAAGCTATGCTTGTGACGAAAGCTAACACGTGCTGAAAAGAGTCGTCAACGCCACAGTGCAGCTTAGCACGCGCAACTGACAACACACTCGTCGGCTCCACTATCTGTTAAATATAAATGTTTTTGTCCGTTTAGTATGTTAGGTAACAAATTTAAGTGGCTCAACTTGTACTGGTGAGTTGTGGATTTACTTACTAAGCAATTGAAGAATTTATTATTAGCTAATTTCTTAGACGGCGCTTCTAATTGGACGGCTAAAAAACCCCAGCTTAGTTCTAAACAAATAAGGGGGGACTTAGACGCTTCAAAGTTACATGCTTCTGGTTTTCTTAATCCCTGTTCTGCTTTTTACATTGTAAATACATAAGAAAGAGTTTGCAGGCCGCTACGAGACTACGCGCGACAAATTCATATACATGTACAACAGCTTCCCGAGGAATAAGCACCTTGTAGATCCATAGAGACTCGCACACATAGAGCTTGCGTTTGATTTACAGGAAGCTCTCGGCAAGAAGGGGTTAACTGATTTTATCTTTTGAGGTAGATTACACCGAATGTTTAAACATGTCTAAATTTTACGTGGCCTTACCAACCCATTTAAAAAAACACAGCTTCAAACACAGTGGAGAGAAAGATCCTACCTGCATCACAGTAACCCACTATACATATTTATTTTTATTAATGACAGAACCTTGGAAGCCCGTGGGATGTTACCAAAACAGAGGAAGAGCTCTTGGTGACATTCTATTAGGAGTTGCAGGCAATGCTACAATGATTTCGAAATTGGACGCATGCAAGAAGAAAGCTGCTTCAAAAGCTGTCGCCTTGTTCGGTTTAGATGACAAAAAATGCTGGACTGGGCAAAATGCTATTAATTCCTTTTACAAATATGGGACATCCGCTCAATGCAGTTATAGCAATAACCACGAGGTAGCAATCGGCAGCTTTGTATCAGAATCAATTTACGTCTACCTAATGAGTAAGAAAGGTAAATACTAGAAAGGAGTTGGTGTAAATCAATCATTGCTGAAAAATACGTTCAAACTTAAATTTCAGTGACAAATGTCTCCAACGAGTCACTGTGAACTGTCATAGTAGTCTGGTTTATTGAAATTTTTTTAAAATAGTTGTTCTGCTCTTATACCAACCCTTATCTGTAACGTCAACACGAATATTTATAAAAGTTAAACAATTCGCTTCATTTACCCTAACAACAATTGTAGTAAGGGGGAAAATATTTAAGTTTATATCAATGTCAACGAAAATAAAATAACAGCAACGAGCTTTATTTGCATGATCATACAAGTACATACAATATTGCAAAAGCTATATCAAGAAAAAGAACTAAAATTACATCATAAGAGTCCATCAGTTCATTGATCAAATCATTTACAGTTAACTGGGTAATATTTGGAATCAGAGTCTTGATTTTGTTGTAAAAATCATTCCTAATCATAGGGTATGTAATGCAACGAAAAAGAAAGTGAACGTCCTCTTCTATTAGATTGGATCCACAAAGAGGGAAATGCCTATTATCTCTAGTATTTTGGTTGTATCTACCTATTTCTAACAGTAGTTTGTGATTGCCTATTCGTAGTTTTACTAAAGCCCTCTCCCAGCAGTTCCTCTTGTTAAGTCTAGATAGTTAGAGATGGTAAGATATAAAATACAAAATACCAATTGTAGTCCGACGGAAAAACAACCCAACCCTCTACCAAAGGCAACCTCTCTACTATGGCCCAGTTCTTTCACCAATTGGACAATCAATATATTCACTCCTGCCTTAACGTTTCCACAATCGTCTCTCTTCCTCAACCGTAACGGCAACTCAAGTGCCGCCCCACCCTAAATCCCAACCACCCCCCCCCCCCCCCCCAAAAAATGCAAAAACGCGAACCATGTACAAACTGATCTATCTACTGAACCTTCCCGATTTGTTTTATGAATATCCTTCTTCATGTTTTATGATGTTTTTAGATTTCTTCGCAAAATATGTGCCGTAATGAGCATTAAGACGGAATCCACTAGGAGATTGAGTAATTTTAATTTTCAGTGGACAAAAACCTTGTACCAGAATAATTTAAAGAATATGACATTCTTCTTTACATTTTTCAAGAGCTAAAGATGTAACTAGTCATCTGTAATAACACCAAAGAAAACTTCTCATGGAGTCCGAGAAAACGAAATTTCAAATTTCACAAGAATAGTAAAACACAGGTAAAATTCTGAAAAATTATTATGTAAGATGTAATTTTGTGAAATTTGACATTAATTTTCTCGGGCTGCCATAAGAAATTTTCTTTGGTGTTACTATAGATCACTAATCACATATTTAGCCCTTGAAAAATGCAAAAAAGAATGCAATATGCATTAAATTATTCTGGTACAAGGTTTTTGTCCACTGAAAATTAAGATTACTCAATTTCCTGGCGGATTCCGTCTTAATTCAAGTTAAACTTTAAAACCTTTTCCTAAATAAGACGTGTCAGATTCCCATTTTTTACCCTTGGGGAAGAGCAGTAAGACGATGCCGTCGGCTCGTTGAAAGAACTAAGGATGAATTCATGAACTCTTTTTTAGGCGATTTGGAGCAACTTGGTTGCTATAGCAACAAATCTCCCACCTACGCCTTACCGGATTCATTTGATGACAACGTCAGCAGTGTGTCTGGCGCAGATGCCATTTTTAACTACTGCAAGACGAAAGCTGAATCCTCTGGCTACAAGATATTTGGAGTAGACGACAAGAACTGCTGGTCGGACAACATGAAGGATTACCGTTATGACAAATACGGCAAATCTAAGCAGCTATGCTTATTTAGCAATGCTGGAACAGGTAATGCGCATGGCCAACACAAATACGGAAACGTGTTTGTCTACAAAATGGAATGAGGTAAGGTTGTGTTCGTTAATTCAACGTTAAGGCAAAGACAATTTTTTGGCGGTTTCATGTTGTTGTCAAATGAAGAAACCTGATTGGCTCTCTTGCCTTGGTTATCGAAAAACCCTAGCTATTTAGCACGTTAAATGTCATGGACAGGTTCTTCCTTCTTTTTGACGTAACCATGGATATTTCCCATAATAAATTTATCTCGGGAAAGTACCGTCACACGCACCAAGCCAATTTACCGCAGTAAAAGAATCATTTACCTCGGTAAAAGCGTCCTGTGTAACCATATCTCATATTTCCAACAACGCGTCCTGTGTAACCATATCTCATATTTCCAACAACGCGGTTTTTTAAGAGAAATATACCCACGAGAAATAACAAAATCTCAGCTCAAGTCCCCTAATCGTACTCCTCAAAGATAATTAGACATTCTTACTTTTAAGGTTAGGGAGAAAAAGACGATGTCATTTTTTTTTTTTTCTTACGCTCTGAAGTAGTGAACCATGTAATGTGGGAAAACTGTTTGAAAGCAGAGGTCCACGCAAGGCATAAATAATAATACTAGTAGTAATGTGATAGTAATTATAATATTGTGATAATAATAGTAATGTGATTATATGTTTCGCGCCCACTCGTTCTACCTTTACATTTTTTCTTGTAGGAAGAAGTTCCCGGGTGGAACGGAGACGTATTATAAAAGAAACCAAGAAATAATATGAAATAGGATGTAGTAATGTCATGTTTTTCTGTGTTTTGTGTTTTTGTTGTTGTCGTTTTTTTAAACATGTTTTCCTTCTCAGGAAAAGGATCAATTAACAAAACACATAGCAGGTCATTCACTATAGTGTTAAAGTGTTATAATTGTTATGATAGCTAGGTATATTTGGGTTAAAAATAAACAAGCATTTAAAAGTGTCTGCATTATCGTCGTTGCTTCTTTGATTTTAAAGTATAGTTTGATAACCAAGAAGGAAAGTTTTAACCGACTGACTGATTCTTTTGTTTCGTGTAGCAGTGGTGGCTATATTTAATATACTTTATTTTTGCTTTGGAAATGACATGTATGTTCGGTTAAGAGGGGAGTCTGGGCGCAGCAGGGGTTATTTTAGACTATTGTGTCTGAAAGCACACACGAGTGAACACGACTGACCACGAATGATCACGAGTAAACACGAGTGACTACGAATAACCACTAGTGAGAATACATCAAAATATTATTTTGACGTCATACTCACGTTATTATTATGCCCCTTTGTCTATTTACTACTATGTAACGATGGTAACCGCAAAAACATTTCCAGCCACTACAGTATGTAAATGTTTGTCCAATCTCTTTCTTTCTTTTTTGTAAAAAAAAGGGTGGGTCCCGGAGAGCTTGGGAGGGGGAAAGGAACGGTGTAATTTCTTGCCACCCGTATCCTATTTATTCCTGTTTCCCCACCTTTTAATGTTAATTTTGCTTCTTCACGCTTTTGCCAAAATATAGGGTAATATGTCTAATATTCTTCTGAATCATTTTTACTGTTTGAGAATAATGTACACTTCGCTTCCTTTTTTAATTTATTTTTATTTTTTATTATTTTTCTTTTTTTTTTTTTGCGCCCTGGGCGGCTTTCTTGCCTTCCAGATACGAGCCGATATATTTGCTAACTATTCGGCACCTGAAATTTTTTCTCGGAGCTATCGTGTATCACCGAACAATTTCATTGTCAGACATGTCGACAGAAGACCGAGGGGGCGAGACGAGAAGGGGAACTTCACTTATAGTCCCGATTTTACGAACGCCTATTATCATCCAATAACAAGTCACACTCCGTTAGAGTAGATAGAACATTTTCACGACAACCTAACTCATGACCAGAAGGCTGTCATCAATTGCTTTGACTTTGGTCTTACACTTGTTTAGTTTTCGTCATTCAAGTTGACTTTTCCAGGATCTTAGGAGACAGTACATGGTTCAAGTACAGAGTGACGCTCTCCGCTGAGCAAAAACGTACTTATTAGTTATTGGTTGAATTAACTAGCTTATATTCCGTCGGTGAGTTCATAGTAAAGGCATTTGCTGTTTCAAGGCTTAAGAAACTACTTCCAGAATTGTACCGACCCTTAATTTTTGATTATAAACTCGAAGATCTAACATAAAAAAACCTCCAAAAAGCCTAAGAACCGGAAAGATTTTCAAATCAACCACCGCGTTTTAGTATATACTAAAACAATGGATAGTGTTTTTCGCGCGCTCTGATTGGCTACTCAATCAGTGAATATCCTGCACTATTCGCTGATTCACCTCCAGTTTCTCCGAGCGAGCAACGCCAAACTCGCGCAAGTTGCGAGCAAAATACTTTCCCGTTTTGCTGCCGTAACAAACAAAGAAATTTCACAACTAATCAAGCTAGCTGTTCCCGAAATACATGAAGAAGGTGACAAAGTTCGGTTTGGAAGTTTTAACAGGTAAAGCTTAGTCTTTTTGACCTGAATTTATCGATAAAACCGGTGAAAAAGTGTTTTTTGTTTGCAAATTCAAACTTGTTCATAAATAAGCTTAAAACTAAATTTAATAATCTTTTTTAGAGAATGATTTTAAATACAAAAAGAATTCACAACTCCTTTTGAAGAAACTTCCCCGCAAGAGCTAAACAAATGCCTTCAAAAGTTTTATTTGTCGGCAAGAAAAAGCGACGACCGCGGCCGTTCGGCCAAAATTGTAATCGTTGGCAAAAGTAAATGAGTGAACAATTTTCATTTTTCTGCTCAGTTATCTCACTGTTTTAGTATATACTAAAACAATTATTCACCTCAGTTTCGGTGGCTAGTGATGGTAAATTTACCTCGGCCTCGGTAGAATTTACATCACTAGCCACCTCCACTTGGGTCAATAATTGTTATATATACTTAAACCATTTCTAAGTACTTGAAAAATGATTTTATTACTTTAAACTTTTTAAGTAGGAACAAAGTTTCGGATAATGTTGAAATTTTCATTCAATATTATTAAAGATTTTTGATATTGACATTATTATAGACACTCTTTGTGAGCGGTTCTTCTTACCTGGGGGCATTTGCATAAAGGAGCTTTAGATGTACCGTAAATCCTCCATTAAGCCCCCCCTCTCAAATAAGCCCCCTTCCCCTTTTTAGAGGAGAAAAGTTAATAAGCCCCCCCCCTCCCTATTAAGTCCCCCCCCTCCCCCTCCCCTCCATCCTTACTCTTCACAAACAATTAACGTGGACTGATCAGTTATGGTATATTCAGGCTGGAAATTCATATTGTTTTTGGTCTTCGGCTGCATGACCTCCAACTTCATGTGCTTAACTTTTTCAACTTTACGCTCTAGTTCTCTGTGGAGAATTGTTACCATTTTCTTATTGTTAGAAAAAGCAGTATAACGCCCCGGAACCACAAGTGCGTCTTCGAAAAACCTTGCTCCCGTTGATGCGCTTCGCTAAATCAAGTAAGCCCCCTCCCCGCCTCTCTTTTAAGCCCCCCCTGGGGGTTTAATAAAGGATTTACGGTATGAATACAAAGAGTTTGACCAGGTTTAGAGTACAGGTCGAACGTAAAAATTTATGCAAGTGGTCCATGATTTATTTACTTAAGGAAAAGTTGCTTCAAAGCTTTTTGTTGAGTAAATGTTTTGCTAACATGTACATTTTGTCGAGTCAGTATTTGTTTTACTCTGGGACGGTAACTAGAGAGGTTATATAATTGGAAAGCGCGATTTCGAGATGGAGCCACCGAAAGAAACGAGATAGCGTTTTGTAACATTTTGTGACGGGGAAAGGCCAGGAAAGGAGGGGGGATCAAAGGGTTTATACTGTTACCTCCGGGTTCCACTTTGTCCGCGCCATGCCCTTGGGAAAAGGAAACGAAATATTCCAAGTTCTATTTTTATTATCTCCCGAAATGAGCTCTTTCCGGTTTAAGAGTCGTAATTTGATAAAGTGACGTATTAATGATGTCATTATAACAGAAAAAATATATTTTAGTGAATTCTCACTCGTGGTTACTCGTGGTCTTTCGTGGTCACTCGTGTTCACTCGTGTTCACTCGTGTGTACTTTTAGAAACAATCATTTTAGACAGCCTCGGCTGTTTATTTCACGTCTTCCTTTTATTCTCTCCAAGCGAATCATTTGGAACTCCATACACGACACTTATTTCCTGTTCTTGAAAAATTGCGTTCAGTGTTGAAATATATCCATTTCTTACGCTCAAAGAATAGTGAATAGTAACATTATTTACTTAAGGCTAACAAACAGCCTTTAAACATAAGTGGCTAAGGTTTGCTAAGGCATTGATTCATAGTGATTTGATAAATATGATCCACAAAAGCTTCAATCAGCCGAATTAGGATAACGGCATTGATTTCAGAGCAGGAAAACAGAGCAAAAAGGAAAAAGAATATTAGACACGCACGCTACTTATTCTTCTTTTTTAAGCTTTTCGTTACAAATTTTGTTGGACAGATGGACGCAAAATTAAAGAGCGTTAACAGAGCCGTTTAATATAGGAATTCGACCTCAAAGCTTTCTTCCTTTGCCTTTTTGCTTTCCCTTTTTTATGCAGTAATGGCAAAGGCGAAGGTTGGTAAACGCACGACCAAAAACTCTACTGACAATGAAGCAATCTGAAACAAAATTTTATTGATGAACATAAGTGCTCAGAAAGGTGGTTTGCCATAATGCTGATATCATACAGAAAGTGGACAACTTGATTTAGCGTTTTATCGACGTCGTATTTTCATAAAACACAGAACATGAACTCTAATGGATGTTTTCTTTTATGTTACATAATTTTAGATACTCATTTATTGAAAACAACGAATAGGCATGAAAGAAATAGTAAATAAACTGAATAAAGCCACTTGCAAGTTATAAACACTGCGTTTGGCTTCATTGTGACTTATCGTCTATTAAAGGTGTTCAGGGTCAACGCCTCTTCAGAAGTGGCATCGATATCCTGTACGGGGGGAAGCCTCAATTTTTGTCTTAATTTTTGTGTGCGAGTAGAAGAAATACATTTACTTGATCTCGCTGTGCTGTAGTCTGTTTCCACTAAGCACATTCCGCCGGCTTAAATTCTGTTTAGGAGTTTCATTAAGATGTTCGTATCGCGTCTTATTAAAGCCGGGAATTTTCTAATAATAAGCGAGAGTATGATTATAAAGCTTTTTTCAGGTTACCTATCCCACACTTTTTTCTAACTTGTCACGGTAAAACCTTGGGGTTAAAAAAGATTAAACTTGTCAGTGGTGTTGCCTATACGAACACTGCAAGATGGGCATCAAATTAATTTTACGGCTAGTCTTTCAGCATTATTTGTGGCGTGCCGTTTGTTTCAAAATTATTTGTTAACGTGATGTTTAATGCGGCGTTAAATGTCCTATGAAATGTTACTAATGTTCCTGTTATAGAATCCACCAACCATTGTTATTTTTCACCTTAATATCATTTTACGGCCGTGATGTGACGTTTGCTGCCTTGATATCATTTTACTACCGTAATGTGACTTGTTGTACCGTGATATCATTTTACTACCGTGGTGTAACATTTTCTACCTTGATATCATTTTACTTCCGTGATGTGGAGGTATTCTGTAACACAGATTCTGCTCGTAACTCCGTAAAGTAACCACTACCACTAATAGTACACTTCACGACCCATACACAATGATATATACCATCGGAAAAAGTCCAGGTGAAGTTTTATTTAAAAATGTATACGCCTTT